CTCACAGAGCCACCCATCACCTGCCCTGGACTCCCACCAGCTCAGGCTCTTGTGGGAGAGAAAAGTGAAGCTCTCTCGTCAAGCCTCTGCCTTCAGAGTCCCTGCGAAAGCTGCCACGTCCTAAATGTACTGTAATGAAGTGAACAGGTGGGGGTCTGGAGGCCCAGGCCAAGGTCTCCCAGAACCCACTCACCCCACCGTTTTATTTAGCACAGTAGTGAAAAGCTTACCTCATCTTGGGTCTGGAAGGTCTCACATTGCTGCCCCACTCCCTACTAGCCCAGTGCCCTACAGTTCCTTTTAGGACTCAATTACATATACTGTGGGGATTGTATTATCAGTTTCATGAGGAATCATGAGACTGTGTGTATGGATCACAGTAAAAACTAACATTTACGACTTCCTTCATGGTGCAGTGGTTAGGAATCAGCCTGATAATGCAAGGGATGGGGGTTTGATCCCTGGTTCCAGAAGATTCCACAAGATAAGGAGTAACTCCACAAAGCCTGTGATCCGCAACAAGAGAAGCCACCGCCACAAGAAGCCCAAGTGCCTCAACCAAGAGTCGTCCCCACTCGCCACAACTAGAGAAAGCAACAAAGACCCAGTGTGGCAAAAAAAAAAAAAAAACCCAAAGAAGCCACTAACATTTATCAAATATCTATTTACCTTGTCCCAGGCAGGCTCTGTGCAAAACCATTTGCCTTGTGAGGTAAGTTCCATTTGACAGAGGAGGACAATGAGGGCCAGTGACTGAGCAAATGGTCCACAGAGCAGTAAGGGGTAGAGCGAAGACTCAACAAGCTCACAGCCACCCTAGGCTTGCTCGAACCTGCCAACACCACACTGCCCAGCAGCAGGCCGCCTAACTCACCAAATGATAGGGAGCACCGGCTCTGAGTCACACCGTTTGGCACTGAGCGAAGCAATGAAATCCCCACCCTCCTGAAATGTATGTTCTGCCAGGAGAGACAGACACAGTCTCTCACATCCTGCATGTGGTTGTCGGCAAAACCACAATCTCCGTTTACCTCCTCTTCTCACGCAAAGACCAAAGATCTTTGATTTACAAGACGTTTCCCCCACACAGCCCCCCTGCCCCGGTTGTCATCTGTCCTCATCTCCCACCTCTTTCCCTCCAGCTCTTCGGGCTCACAGGCACATTCCTGCCTCAGGGCCTTTGCACTGGTCATTCCTTCTGCCTAGATATGCCTCCATGTGCTTGTGTGGCTTATTTTCTGACCTTCGGATCTTAATAAAAAAGATTTCAGTGTGGCTTTCCTGGTAACTCTATCTGAAATCCAGTGCCTCCCAAACATACTATGTAATTATTACCTAATTCCCTTTCTTACTGTATTTCTCCTAATACATATTACTTGAAAAAAATAAAACAGTTATTTATCAGTTACATAAAACCCATTTCAAATATCCAATTCAAGGATTTTTAGTAATTTTACCAAGTGGTGCAACTATCACCATAGATCTGTTTCAGAACATTTTCATCGCCTTCACCCAGTAAGATCCTTCATGGCCAATTTAGAGCTAATCACTGTTCCCACACTCAGCTCCCAGCAACCACTAATCGACTTTTTATCTCTGTAATTGTCTTTTCTGAATACTCATATGAATGGTGTCATATGACATGCAGCCTCTTGTGTCTGGCTTCTTTCAACCAGCATAGTGTTTTTGAGGTTTATGTAGCCGTTGCTACATAAATACCAGGAGTTCATTCCTTTTTATTGCTGAATAGTATTCCATTGTATGAACAGATCTATCACATTGCATGTATCTATTCACCAGCTGTTGGACAGTTTCATTTCCAGCTTTTTCTAACATACTCTACATTTTGCCATGTACCCCCTGACAAGAATGTCAATTCCACAGGGCTGGAATTTTTGCTGGTTCTGTTCATTTCTGTGCCCCCAGCACTTGAACTGTGCTGGACACACAGTAGGTACTCAATAAGTTTTATTATAAAATGTATTATGTGCTGAGGGAATCAGAATAAAGATAATCTCAGAGAGTGGGAGGCAAGGGCTGTCTATGCTGGTTATCGAACCAGGGGAAAGGGGACGGAGTGACGAGGCTCCATGGAGTTGGCAGTCAGGCAGGGCAGGTTCCTCTAAGGAATGGACTTTGCAGCAGAGACCTGAGTGCACAAGGCTGATAGCTGCACAGTTTTGTCATTATCCTCAGGCCTAAGTCCCAGCCCTGCCCACCACTTCTGCAGGCCCAGCAGCCAGGTTGGGGGCAAGGGCTGGGCCGGAGAGGGACTCCCAGGGACACCTAGCCTCACAGCAATTGGAACAGATGACTCAGGCTCTCGACTCCTCCCTGAGCCTAATCTGGGCCCCATACAGTGTGGGGAGGGAAGGCTGGGCTCCGTGGCTGTCCCTTCTACTAAGTACAGCCTCCCATAGGGTGAGACCAAGGGGCTACACTTGCACTTGGACTTGCACTCTACTGCCTGGGTTTGAATCTTAGTTCTAATCTATCCATTACTGTTTCTGCTCCTCAACATCTTTTTTTTTTTTCCTTTTCTTTTTTTTTTTTTTTTGGCTGTGCTGGGTCTGCACTGTGGCACAAGGACTTTCTGTATATACAGCACATGGACTTAGTTTCCGTGCGGCATGTAGGATCTTAGCTCCCTGACCAGGGATTGAACCCATGTCCCTTGTATTGGCAGGAGTATTCTTAACCACTGGACCACCAGGGAAGTACCGCCCCTCATCATCTTAACTGGTCCCTCAGTTTTCTCATCTGTAAAACAGGGATAGCCACCATACCTACCTTTTACTTAAAAAACAAACACTATAAGCACTTATTGCTAGTAACTGTGTGCAGGCATGGTCACAGGAAACTAATCCGTTTGATTCTTACATCAACGCCATATGGTAGTTATCATTTACAGATGAGGCACAGAGAGGGGAGTAACTTCCCCAGATCATTCTGTTGTTGTTTAGTTGAAAAGTCGTGTCCAACTCTTTTGCAACCCCATGGACTGGGAGCCTGCCAGGCTCCTCTGTGCATGGGATTTCCCAGGCAAGACTACTGAAGCGGGCTGTCATTTCCTACTCCAGGGGATCTTCCTGACCCAGGGATTGAACCTGCATCTCCTGCACTGGCAGAAAGATTCTTTACCACTGAGCAACCTGGGAAGCGCTACTGGGTAATACAGGTGGGCTTCAAATCATGAGACTGGCTCCCAAGTTTATGCTCTTCTTCCTTTCAGACTCTGCTTCTCACCAGGCCAGAGGCTATGTTACAGTGAGTTAATGTACAAGAAGCCCTTGGAACAGTGCCAGGCACAAAAGCACCCAAGGAGTGTCAGTATTATCATGGCACAGAGAGCGTGCGGAGGCACCCTTTCTCTCATTTCTTCAAGTGCGAGCATCTGACCCTTTAAGGGAAGCTAGTTGGATTTCTCTGGCGGCTCAGACAGTAAAGGGTCTGCCTACAATGCGGGAGACTCGGATTTGATCCCTGGGTCGGGAAGATCCTCTGGAGAAGGAAATGGCAACCCACTCCAGTAATCTTGCCTATTTTTTTTTTTGGCTGTGCTGGGTCTGCACTGTGGCACAAGGACTTTCTGTATATACAGCACATGGACTTAGTTTCCGTGCGGCATGTAGGATCTTAGCTCCCTGACCAGGGATTGAACCCATGTCCCTTGTATTGGCAGGAGTATTCTTAACCACTGGACCACCAGGGAAGTACCGCCCCTCATCATCTTAACTGGTCCCTCAGTTTTCTCATCTGTAAAACAGGGATAGCCACCATACCTACCTTTTACTTAAAAAACAAACACTATAAGCACTTATTGCTAGTAACTGTGTGCAGGCATGGTCACAGGAAACTAATCCGTTTGATTCTTACATCAACGCCATATGGTAGTTATCATTTACAGATGAGGCACAGAGAGGGGAGTAACTTCCCCAGATCATTCTGTTGTTGTTTAGTTGAAAAGTCGTGTCCAACTCTTTTGCAACCCCATGGACTGGGAGCCTGCCAGGCTCCTCTGTGCATGGGATTTCCCAGGCAAGACTACTGAAGCGGGCTGTCATTTCCTACTCCAGGGGATCTTCCTGACCCAGGGATTGAACCTGCATCTCCTGCACTGGCAGAAAGATTCTTTACCACTGAGCAACCTGGGAAGCGCTACTGGGTAATACAGGTGGGCTTCAAATCATGAGACTGGCTCCCAAGTTTATGCTCTTCTTCCTTTCAGACTCTGCTTCTCACCAGGCCAGAGGCTATGTTACAGTGAGTTAATGTACAAGAAGCCCTTGGAACAGTGCCAGGCACAAAAGCACCCAAGGAGTGTCAGTATTATCATGGCACAGAGAGCGTGCGGAGGCACCCTTTCTCTCATTTCTTCAAGTGCGAGCATCTGACCCTTTAAGGGAAGCTAGTTGCATTTCTCTGGCGGCTCAGACAGTAAAGGGTCTGCCTACAATGCGGGAGACTCGGATTTGATCCCTGGGTCGGGAAGATCCTCTGGAGAAGGAAATGGCAACCCACTCCAGTAATCTTGCCTCGAAAATCCCATGGGTGGAGGAGCGTGATAGGTGCAGACCATGGGGTCACAAAGAGTTGGACAGGACTGAGCGACTTCACTTTCACTTTTCAACAGTGCTAGTAGTCCCCTCCCCAGAAATCTTCACCCTTCCACACTCCTCTCCCAACCCCGAGTCCCTTGGACTGCAAGATCAAACCAGCCAATCCTAAAGGAAATCAGTCTTGAATATTCATTGGAAAGACTGATACTGAAGCTGAAGCTCCAATACTTTGGCCACCTGATGCAAAGAGTCGACTCACTGGAAAAAACCCTGATGCTGGGAAAGACTGAAGGCAGGAGAAGGGGACGACAGAGGACGAGATGGTTGGATGGCATCACCGACTCAATGGATATGAGTTTAAGTAAGCTACAGGAGAAGGTGAAGGACAGAGAACCCTGGCATGCTGCAGTCCATGGGGTTGCAAAGAGTCGGACACGACTGAGCGATTGAACAACAGGGTGCGTGAGGTGGCAGGGAGCATAGCAATCAAATGTCCACCCTCCCCGTTTCCCAGAGGACCAGTTGGGCGGTGCTGGGGAGGGGCAATGAGTCAGGGTTAAGGACTTTGAGCAGAGGTCGGGTGGGGCTCCTCATAACTTCCTGGCAGGCCCACTGCCCCTCCCCAAGGCCCGCCCCCTACCCTCGAAGCCTTGCTCCAGCGCTCTGGCCCTGCACACACACCTTCTCTCGCTACCATGGAGTTCGACCTGTCGGCAGGTGCGCTGCTGTTGCGTGGGGAGCTTGGGGGCCAGGATCAAGCCCTAGGGTCTGCCTCCGGGGGGCATTTTCTGCGCCTGCACCAACCCATCCACTGTCTCTTCTCCCTGCAGCCGTGGAGTCCACCCCCAAGAAGCCCCAGGGGGCAGGCAAGGTGGGCGACCCCAAGCACAGCCCCCCCAAGGTTCAGGGCGGGTCTGCTGATCACCTAAAGGTAAATCACCTCATTCCTGGGAGTTGCTTTTTGACCCCAGGACCCTGCTCGGTCTGGGGCCTCCGACTTGGGGGGAATGGGAGCTGGGAAAGGGGTCTCCCAGCTTCACTGGTGTGCCTCCCAACTAGCATCACCACGGCCATGGCCACGGCCAAGGGAGCGCCTCAGATTCCAGCAGCAGCTCCACTGATTCGGAAAATGAGGTGAAGGTAAGAGGCTTCCCCCTCCGTAGCGGGTGCCCGGTACCCCAAGTGAGGGCGGAGTCCCAGCCCGGAACGCGGGCCGAGGACTCACCGCCGGAACCCTCTCTCCCCTCCCACCCCCACCGACCCCTGGCCCCACAGCCCGGCTCGGAGCTACACAAGAGCGCCCCGGGCAAGGTCAAGAAGCCCAAGGTGAAAAAAGAGAAGAAGAAGAAGGAAGAAGGGAAGAAGAAGGCTTCCCATTGATGGGCCTGGGCGGGGCTCATTAAACCTTTGCTTGGCCTCCTGGTCGCCTTCTGGTTGTGAGCGGTCCCCGGCCTCCTTCTCCCTTCCCGGGACGGGCCTGCCCCCTGCTGGACACCGCGCGCCAAGGAGAAGCTGCCCACGCCGTGTCCATCACGGTTTATTGTTTCTGGAACAGTGGCCGCCCTGCTGGGGGGCGGCCTGTGCAGCTGGAGATCTCAGCACCTCGGCGAGGGCGGGGAGGGTGGGAGGGGCTCGGGCTGCGGGGCGCCCCCCGGTGGCCGGCAAGTGGCCAGGGGGCGGCGGCCGCCGGAAGCAGCAGCGGCGGGAGGCGTCGCGGGGCCGCCCTCACCGCACCAGGTGGAAGGTGAGCCAGTACATGAGCAGGGGCTGCGCCGCCGCCACGGCCATGGTCAGGTACATGCGCAGCTGGTTCCGCGCCCCACGCACCGGGATGCCCTCGGCCGCCGCCTCCGCCAGGATCTTCAGCCGCAGCGTCCGGATCTGGGCCGGGGAGGGAGAACACTCTTGAGCCGGGCCTCCTTCAGGACTCCACCTTCCCCACCCTTCCTTCAGAGAGTGGCTGGGCTTAAGTCTGCTCCTACGGAGCCTCGGGTTTCTCCTAGATCTCCTAACAGACAGGGAGGACCTCCTTGTCCTCCCAGGCCTTGGGAGAAAATGTGAGAGGGTTCCAAACTCAACTGCCAAGCGAGGGCCTTAAATTGATGAAGTGGGCAACTTCAGTGTGAACGCCCTGCCCATGGGGATGGCCAGGCTTGGCCCTTTGGCCACCATCAGCTTGTGCCGCACTTGACGATTTTTCAACACAAGCCGGAAATGCCATTTTTTCTCCCCAAGCCAGAAATGCCATTTTTTCTCCCCAACTGTTTTGTTTAAACCGCCCCTAAAGCTGTAAATAATGCCATGTAATTACAGTTTATCTGTGGGGCAGATCTGGCCCACCAGTCACTAGCTTTTGCTCTCTGCTGCTCACACTTTTCATACTGCTTATGGGGTTCTCAAGGCAAGAATACTGATGCAGAAGTGGTTTGCCATTCCCTTCTCCAGTGGACCACCGTTTGTCAGAACCCACCACCATGACCCGTCTGTCTCGGCTGGCCTTACACAGCATGGCTCATAGCTTCATTGAGTTACACAAGGCTGTGGTCCATGTGATCATTTTGGTTAGTTTTCTGTGATTGTGGTTTTCATTCTGTCTGCCCTCTGATGGATGAAGATAAGAGGCTTGTGCAAGTTTCCTGATGGGAGGCACTGGCTGTGGGGAAAACAGGAGTCTAGCTCTGGTGGGCAGGGCCATGCTCAGTAAATCATTAAATCCCAATTTTCTGCTGATGGGCGGGGCTGTGCTCCCTCCCTGTAGTTTGGCCTGAGGTGGCCCAATCCTAGAGTCTGCAGTCTTTATGGTAGGTTACAGGCTCTATAGTAAGGGTAAGGGCGATCTCCTCAAAAAGAACTTATGCCAGCATGCCACGTGTCTCCCAGAACTGCTGCTGTCAGGACCCTGCGGCAGGCCACTGTCGACCCACGCCTCCGCTGGAGACTCCCACTCACTCACAGGCAAGCCTGGCTCAGCCTCTTGTTGCCCAGAAGGGGGAGAAAGAGGATGAGATGGTTGGATGGTATCATTGACTCAATGGACATGAGTTTAAGCCAACTCCAGGACATAGTGAAGGACAGGGAAGCCTGGTGTGCTGCCGTTCATGGGGTCACAAAGAGTCAGACATGACTGAGCAACTGAACCACCTAACACTTGCTCACACTGATACTCTCAGTACCCTGAAGTGGAATTATCATCACCCCGTTTTACAAAGGGTTTCCTTGGTGGCTCAGTGGTAAAGAATCTGCCTGCCAAGCAGGAGACAGGTTCAATCCCTGGAACAGGAAGATCTCCTGGAGGAGGAAATGGCAACCCATTCAAGTATTCTTGCCTGGGAAATCCCTTGGACAGGAGAAGGTGGCGGGCTATACAACCCATGGGGTCACAGAGAGTCGGACATGACTGAGCAACTAAACAACAACCTTTTCAGAAAAGGGGAAACAGGTTTAAAGAGAGGAAGTGAGCTGCCCAGGATCCAGGAAGGCCTGGGGTCAAAGCCAGGGCTGGTGGATCCCAGAGCTCCTAACCAGCACTTCTAGTCCAGCTGGAAGGACTCTCAGAGAAGCTACTTCAAGGACACTATACTCTTTTCATCCTAAAGGAAATGCTGGAAGGAACGCCCACTGTACCAGAAAAGTGGAGTGAGAGCCGACTGGCTGGCTCCTCCTTCCCCTTCAGCACCCCGCCCTTGGACACCCCCGCTTCTGGAAAGCTCTCTGGACCCCCAGGCTAGGGTAGCCCCTCCACCAGTATGGCTATGGGTCTAAACTCCCACCTGACATCCCCTGCTTGGATGACCCCAGGGACCCCCAACGCTCTCCAGAAGGCCTGTGCCCTGCGTTCCACCCTCCCTTGAGCCCCAGCTCACCATGAACACAAAGATGGACACGCAGCACCAGCCCAGTACCAGGTAGTAGCCGATCTTCCCAAAGAGCAGGCCCATGAGGACCCCACCAATCATCCTGTGGGGAGAGCGGGGGAAGGCTGGTCTGAGGATGAGGCCCTGGGGCTGGGGGCTGGCAGTGGGGAGGCAGAGGGGGTACTCACCCAACATACTTGTAACCCAGGAAGGCCACCAGGTCGATAGTGCTGAGGTCTGTGTTGACAGTGACAAGGTAGAGGCTGAGCAGGATAGCCAGCACCTCCAGTGTCAGCCAGGCCAACGCCGAGCTCGCCTGCAGCCCCAGGAGGTCTGGAGAGAACCTGCCGACACCCAAGCTCTGTCAGCCCCAGTTGGCTGGCTCAGACCCTCCCAGGGCAGGGGGGACAGCCTCTGGTGGCAGGGGTGCGCGCTAGAGACCTGGCAGGGACCAAGATGGATATGGGCCCTGTCCTGGAAATCCCATCCCGAGTGACAGACAGCCCAGAGAGGTCAGGCCGGGACGGGGGAAAGCGCAGGGCAAGGCAGGTGTTGTGACCCCGTTGGGAGGGAGGGTGTCCGAGAGGAGGGGGCACTTGAGCTGAGGCTTGAAGGAGTAAGGAGCTGATGGGGGAAGAAGACCTCTGCCATATCCCCTGGGACTCAACAATTCATGGCTCTAATGACAACGGTTTTCCATGCCACAAAGGTAATGAACAGGGGTCTGTGAGCAAGAGGTAGGGGCCTGACCCAGGCTGGAGGGTGGGGAGGTTTCCCCGAGGCAGTATCAGCACAGTGGAGACATGAGTGAATGTAGGGGATGGAACACACTCCTCAGCAAAGGGGACCGCGTGTGCAAAGGCCCTGGGGAGGCAGCCCAGGTCCTTGGCAGAAACAGAAAGAGGACAGAGTGGCTCAGCAGAGTGAAGGGAAGGGGCAGAGAGAGATTGCAGGTGGGCAGTGACAGCTCCGGAGATGGGGCTTGGTCTGGGGACAGCCGAGCAGGGGGCGGAGAGGGGTTGGCATGGCCAGGCCCACCTCTCAGACAACATCTTCCTGTTGGGAGGTGGGGTGCAGGGGTGTGTGGGGGCCGGGCAGTTAGTTAGGACAGGCCAGGGAAGACTAGACTGCAGGTGGGCAGTGACAGCTCCGGAGATGGGGCTTGGTCTGGGGACAGCTGAGCAGGGGGCGGAGAGGGGTTGGCATGGCCAGGCCCACCTCTCAGACAAGATCTTCCTGTTGGAGTTGGGGTGCAGGGGTGTGTGGGGGCCGGGCAGTTAGTTAGGAGAGGCCAGGGAAGGCTAGATTCAGTGTCATCCACCACAGGGTGGGGTGATGGGCTGCACGTGAGTGGGGAAGAAGAAAGAGGTGAAGGCAACCCTGAGGATACACCGAGGGCTCTGTCTTGGGCCAACTGGCTACACGGTAGGACTGTTCTGACCCAGGGGAACCAAAGAGACCTTCTTGACTGTCCCCCCCAGCACTGCAAACCCCACACTACTCAGCTGACCCCAGGCCTCTCTTACCTATCCTGGGTCCCCAGCGCCAGGCCAGCCACCAAGACGTAGGTGATGAAAGCCATGGCTGTGGGAGGCAGACACACAGACACTGGTCAGAAGAAGGACCATCGGGGCCTCTGGGCACCTAAACGTCTGCCCGAGACAAGCCCGCCTGGAGGGAGGAGGTCGCCGGGTGGAGGTGGGTGGGATGAAACCTGGAATGTAGAGGTCAGGAGCGTTGACGTCAAAGCGGGGGGCCACCGGCGTGTCCTGCTGGTACTGCACCTCCCAGTCCTGTGGGGAAAGGGGGGAGCAGGCAGGACCTGGAGCGGGGTGCCTGCACCCCTGCAAGCCCTCTCTTGGGGCCAATCTGTCCGGCCTGCTCCTCAGTCTCCTTCACCCCTGCCCATCATGTGCCTTGGGGTGCCAGTGCTCACCTGGTGCAGGTAGGGAAAGACGAGCAGGCCCAGCTTTTTGCCCACGTACATGGTGTCCACGGCAAAGTAATACTTGAGCTTGGTGACGGGAATGAAGCGGTCGATCTGGGGAGGCAGAGCTCAAACCTGAAGCCCTGGCCCCGTGGCCCCTGCCTGCACCCCCCACCCCAACTCCCACCAGTCCAGCCCACTCACGTTCTTATCCACCAGCTCCTTGCCCTGCGCAGCGAGGCTGCTCCCATAGGCCATGGCCATGTTGGATACAGGATCAGCCAGGAAGGCTCCCTGGGGCGAGGTAGAGGCTGCAGGGTAGCCCAGGCCACCGGGCACCCGCTGGGCCCCATAGCCCCGGCTCTGGGCTGAACTCGTGTCATCAAAAAGCTGGTGGGGGTCAGCCATGCCTGGCTGGGACACAGGAACCCTCCGCTTTGAGGCTGCAGGGGAAGAGGGATGGGAGCCTCATTCATTTGTCAGGAGCTCTCCCTCTGGCCTCTGCTACAGTGGGGCGCTGGTTTTGATGTCAGATGGGTTGTCTTTTGTGGTGTTGGAGAAGACTCTTGAGAGTCCCTTGGACTACAAGGAAATCAGTTCTGAATATTCACTGGAAGGACTGATGATGAAGCTGAAACTCC